GTATCAGACTACTGTTAAATAAAAAGCTTCAGAATGTTCAATAAACTCCACTGTAAATATTTAACCATAAAGCCTCTACTGTGCTCTGGCCTAGTTCCCCCCTTTAATAGAGAAAAACTACTCTCCCATTTCTTTTACTTTAAATACACATGAACAAATAAAGGTAAGGTTAGCGTAAAAGTCCTTATTATTACGTTGGTAACTTGTAACATGACTTCAACTGACAAACCTAAGGCTGACAGTGAGGTCATTTTACTCCCTCTCTTTCCCTCAGTGCTCTGTTTTATCGGTATTTTAAACCACTTAAAGCTACATTGAAACTAAAGGAAAGAAGTTCAAACAAGGATTTGAGGTCACTCCTTGGAATTGAACTCAGAACCTTCCATGCAGAAAGCTGCGCAGTAGCCAAATGTCAGGTTAATTCAACTAATCTCTTACACTAAGTCTAAGTCTTCCTCAGTTCGCTCTTCAAAGAACAGTAGTTCATTAATATTGAGGAGTTCATGATAGTCACACTGTATTCTTCCATGTTACCTGCTAAGAAGAAGGGAAGCAATTTCCATGTAGTGTTTTGAAGGCATTTTCGTGAAGTACTCAGCCTCTTTCTCCTTTTCCTTGAGTTCCTGAAGTCTTTCTGTGAAATAAGTTTTAACTCAGACCCTTTTACATGTAGCCCTTAACATGTTTTCTCCCCAATCAGGGCAGTGCTCTGATCTATCAGCACTCCATCAGTGGCCCCTGGCTCTTACTTTTGCTCTTGGATGACTAGAAAATCTTAATTTTTGCATGTACTGGAAACCCTGGATTTCACAGGTTCTGTTCAATGGGCAGTCTACAATTTTCTTGGAGCACACCCAGGGCTGTTACTAAAATTTCAAGTTGCCGGGTATCTGCAATTAGTAGGAGAGGAACTGAACAGCAAGGAAGTTCTTCTGATTTGATTTTCCTTTTGTTTCCTATGAAAGTAGCCGGGGCTCACGCTAATAGTAGCCAAGGAAAATCCCTGGCCCTTGGCTCCTACTGACAGCCCTGGCACACCCATGCCCCAACTATACAAGCATGTATCAGACTTCCTATACATCAGTCAACAAAATCTCTTTACAAAAAGTTACGCCATGTTTAAGATGGTTACTGCTCTAAAAGAGGCAACGGAGTTGGTCCCTGCCTTTGACTCTATAAAAGACAGATACCTCTTTAAAATGGACAATTGGTGCTGGTCACAACAGTGTCTGTCTTAGAAAGAGTTGACAATAATACACTGTACATACCGGTAGGTGTCTCTAACTGATACCCATTTACTATCCCTCCCCCACATCCCTCCCGGGCGGGGTTTGCTCCCACATAAAAATGGCAGGATGCTCATCTCCGAATTTAGGGGTAGAGATTGCAAATTTTGATTTCTCTTAGGGTGCTCAGGATGAAATGCCAATAAATTATGTTTGGCCATTAATGCATCACTAAAGGTTGCGTGTAGAGAAACATCCCAATAAAAATATTAAATGCTGTCCCACTTTGTTGGAGTACCCCTTTTTTGGGGGTCAAATAAAGTCTGGGTCATGCTTACTTTAGTCTCCTTTTAGGGTTTAATAAATTCTAAGACCAGCATCCCCAGTGCTGTCAACTCTCCCGGATAATCCAGGAGACTCCAGATTTTGAACCGTTTCTCCCAGTCTCTAGATTAGAGTCTAAAATCTCCCGGATAATTGCCAAAGTTTATCATTTCTTGTAGATTAGACTTTCCGACAATGAAATTTTGTGTTGTTTGAGCTATTTTGCTATTGAATGTTTCCTCACAAACTCTGGTGTATGCCATTGTATTATAAGCGATAATGTGATTGGTGGGAAGTAAACCAATCAGGTCAAATGTTACAATTGTGCTTTTTCATGCATTTTTTTGCCCAAATGATGTCATGTACAGTGCATTATGACGTCATCTATCATCCCTTCCCTATCAATTCTCAATATTTGAAGATGAGGGGGGTTGACAGCCCTGCATCACTATCACTTTTACATGGGTGTCATACCCTGCAAGACATAACCTAAGTGTCTGCCTTACACAGGTGCGTGCTTTAAAACTGATGACTGTGCAATATGACAGAATTGCTTGCACTGAACTCCTTCTCTTACCAACATCCATCCAATCAGGAGGCTGGATTCTGCATTTTCTTCTCTGTTTTAGAAATATTGCCACCCACAGAGGCACTTCTGTTGGCAGTGATGCATTGAATGGGCCTATGTCCCCCTGAATTGAAAAACAGCAATACGATCCTTGACCGGTGTACACACTAAAACGCCACTTATTCTATATTAGAGTAAAAAGCTTACATATTAACCAATCTACACTGCACTTTAAAACCGACAAACAAAGCTTACCCCGATCAAATAAATTTTGTTCTCAGAGAAGTTCGTCAGGATCGATATTTTTTCCTTTTCTGCGACGAATTCAACTTCTGAAGGATCCATTAGGAAGTAGAGGAAACAAAGAACACTTATCGAAAGAATGAAAGTATAAATACGATTTAAAATAACGTTAAAAGCCACAAACTCCGCTCGAATTTGATCAAATCTTCCAATTCATGCCGCCATATTTTCCCGCTAAATTGAGTTACCTGTTACCAGTCTTGCTCGGTAAATCCCGCAAGTATCCCGCGGTCCCGCGGTAGTCACATGACTGACTTGTGATAATGAGAAGGACTGGAGCAAGTGACTGGTCCGCCATCTTGGACAGAAACAACATGGCAGAGACAACTCAAATGTTGTCATTTCATGAGCTGTTTTTTAATGTAGACAATGGATATCTTGAAGGATTGGTCAGGGGATTTAGATCAGGGGTCCTAACTCAAAGTGATTACCTTAATTTATCGCAGTGCGAGACCTTAGAAGGCAAGTGATGTCCATGTTTAAAATTAGCTCTCTTGTGATGATTCAGAGTTCCGGCCTGCTTTTAGTTAATGATGATAATTATTTGGTTCTCTTTACTCTTAAAAAATCAAAATATTTAGAATTTAATTTAGTAGTTTTTATCGAAATATGTCTCAAGACCAGCTACGGTTACATTTCTCAAATGCCATGTCCTTCATACATGTCCTTCAACTCCGATTAGTTTTACTTCTTTCATGAAAAATAGGTTAGTTCGGGTGATTTTCTGGAATCGGGTCACCTTTGTAAAAAATCATTTCTTGGATTAAAACTCAACCTTTCTTTCTATCCTTTAATATTTGTAGAATGTTCTCACTTGACTTTGTATGTTGCTCTAAACATCTTTGTTGTTGTATCACTAATTATTATTTGTTGTTGTTATTGTTATTATTATTATTATTATTATTATTATTATCATCATTATCATTATTAACATTATTAATATGGTTGTCTTTATGTAAAGACGTGTTATTGACAACACCTTCAACTGGATCATGTGTACAATGGTAACTCTAAAGTTAAGATGGCTCTCCTTTTTGTCATGTTTCAGACTTAAAGCTTCACTTACAGAGTACAGATTATGGAAATTTCCTTCAAAATGAAGCTGGCCCTTTGAATGTGTCAGTGATTGATGACAGACTCAGAGAGAAGTTGGTTACTGAATTTAGACATCTTCGTAATCAAGCTTTGGAACCGATGGGAACTTTTATGGATTTTATTACGTAAGTAAAGCAGACCAAGACTTAATGAGAAAATCAGGTAGCCCAATGAAAGGCAAGATGTTGCTTTGGTGTACTCAGCTTGCAATCTGAGCTGCTTGGTCAAAATTTAGTCTTTTTGCTGTAAAATCATTTGCCTATCATTAGGCAGCTTCAGTGTGATGAAGCACTAACTTTAAATACCCTCACTTAAAGGAGCACCGATGGAGAGAGGGGGTAAAATGAGTGTACTGTCAATCCCAAGTTTATCATTTTAATTACTGTCATGAGGTATGACGTAAAATATGGTTGCTTTACCTTTACCTTTAGGTTTGACTGTACCATGTTTTCCTGTATGAAGTTTTAGGTTCGTGAATTTAATGGTACATGAAATCTGTTTGTAAACTGGTTGATATTCTTTTGATAATCTTGGAGTGCAGACAGAGTCCTATCATCTTCAGTGTTTGCCATACAGAGTCTTTCAAATTGCTTACACAGACTAACTATAATTCATTGACTTTATCATTGTAGCTATAGTTACATGATTGATAATATCATCTTGTTGATCACTGGAACTTTGCATCAGCGACCAATCACAGAGCTAGTTCCCAAGTGTCATCCTCTTGGTAGCTTTGAGGAGATGGCTTCCATAAACATTGCTTCCACACCAGCTGAACTCTACAATGCCGTTATGATTGACACTCCTCTAGGTTGGTCAAAATATTGTTACTTTATCATTAAGCTGCATTTTTTGTGACAAGGAGTTCCTTTTCAGTGAAAACTTGCCCCTGTAAAAGTAGCTTTAAACACCAGGCCACAGTTGTTCAATCATTGGATAGTGCTATCCATCAGATATATCACTATCCAATGGACAGTGCAATATTGGTTTCCCTAATACTTACCCACTAGATAGTGATTTATCTGATGGATAGCGCTATCCAATGATTGAACAACCCCAGGCCAGGTGTCTATCTCACATTCTATATTTGAGCTATTTTGAAAAAATAGCTCATATGTCAGTGGTGTGAGCACATGTATCTTTGTGGCTTTGTAACTTTGTATCTTTGTAACTTTGTATGTTGGGATGTTTGTTGCAAGAGCCAATAAGGTTGAAGTTACTATGAGTTGATGCTTAGGAACCAATGAGATCTTGGCATCTATTTAAACATGGCATTGGTAAAGGTCGAACAAGGGCACTTTGAGACCGCCATCTTGATCCTTCACAATTTTTTCGTCTTTTATTACGGGTACAGGCATTACATAAAATATCTTCATGATTCAAACGCTGTGAACAGTGATGCAACTGTTTAAGGGTTCATATTTAAGTGTGGATGCTGCTTCAAGGCATTTCTGACCTAATTCGGCTATCGGTACAACGCACGTCAGTGTGAGTTCTATTTCACCTGCTACAACTGGGTAGAGTATAAAAGATCATATATTTTCAAATCTCTTCCAATGAAGCAATAATTGATATTTAGATATGGACTTTTATTCGAAAGTATGCGCCCTATAAAATGTGGTTTTAGAAGTTTAAAAGGCAGCTTATTTTTTTGAAAGCTGTATCGAGTATTGTTAATCCTGTAAACAAGCTTTAAAAATATTATTCTCTCGCTTAGAAAGTTCAACCGACCTTTTTTGTTCTATTTAGTAAAGATGCATAACTTAAGTAGAAACAGTGGCGTTAGGGAATAAAATTTGAGGAAGCTAGTTGACACAATAATCATAATATAAGTAGAAATATATTTCGGCAGTTTGATAATTTTCTTGGAAGTTAATAAATGTTAGGCTATCAACCTTGACCTTGCATGAAACATAATTTAATTGCAGATATTGTAGTAAAGCGGAGGTGATTTCTTAAAATCGTTTAAGAAAATTTTGTAACATCTTCACATGCAAATTGTGTGCATGAGTTATTTTTATAATTCTGTTTACTAGATTACTGTGTGATAACTCAAATTCCCTCACGTACGAACGAAGAAAGGGGGCAAAGTCCGACACTTTCACGTGCCAGCTGTGTGACTGTTCATCACATGCAGATTGGCTTTTCACAATAATAATAGTAACTTGGACGTATGAAGACCTGTTTCATTTAGTAACCAATGCCTTAAAAAACGCTCTTGTCTTTTAGGAAGCAATAGCTTTTAAAACATGACGAAATAAGTTGTCGGAGTTAAAGACTGTTTCACTGAGTAGAATCGCACGTGAAAACCCCGTGAATTATGATGATGCAACCATCTACCACAATGATAAAAATCCTGGTATTTCGTAACTATTCAGTATTTGATGAGTCACATTTTGGCTTAAGAAACTCCGAGGAAACCTTAGAGTTTTCCTTCTAATCAACGTTTGGTGAGTAGAAATTTATTTCACTTTAACAATTTGTTTAACTTGCACCAGATGTAACAGGGAAAGACAGAGGAAAGTGGATATATAGCTTGAGGATCGACTCAGCTGAGCGTTTCGTGTTTTCATTTTGTACCGCAATACGCAATTTCGCACAAAAACCTAATCTACATTTAGGATGAAAGAGGTAGATGGATCACTCTTGGTAAGGCTACACCGAAGCACTAAAGTTACACTGAAGCATTCAAAATAGCTCATGCACGTTTAACGTGCCTATGTTTTACATTTTGTTGAAAGTTTATTTTCATTTACTTTGAACTCATTATTATGTCACCATGTGATGCTGTTTTTTATAGATTGTCCTTTGCTATCTCGTTGTATAATTTTATTATGGATCCTTCCTCTTTCAAAACAGAGAATAAAAAATAATGTTACAACAAAATATGTGAGAGCCTGTGCCAAGTCATTGTATTAAGAAAATTGCTAACTCTTACTTTTTTTATAGCCCCCTTTTTTGTGGAATGCATTTCAGAGCAGGACTTAGATGAGATGAACATTGAAATTATAAGAAACACTTTATACAAGGTAACTTTGAGTTATAATAACAAAATAAAATTATATCTATTGTCTTCTCTATGGTACATAATGTAAAGTAGTGGTAACCATGGAGATCAGAGGTCAAGTTGCCTGAAAGTCATCTCGCCCCAAGTTATGACCCCCTAAAACCAGAGTTACATTGTATGTTGCCTAAAATCTACAGTTATGTCACTCAAAATTTTATCAGGTGTAACACATGGTGAAATACTTTTAAGTTAAAGAGTGTGTAATATATTTCGTTGTTTAAACCAGCATGAGACCAAACAGGTGGGATAAATAAGTTATATGATGAAAATATATCTTATTATTTAAGCCTTTAGTTCTTGTTAGAAGCAAACTTATTAATGGGACTGAAAGTTTAACATGATTGTGTAAAATGTACAAAATTAGCAATATTTATTTTTATCTTTATCTTTTACTTGATAGGCTTATCTTGAAGGGTTTTACAAGTTCTGTGAAGATTTAGGTGGAACAACAGCAGATGTAATGTGTCCCATCCTTCAAGTATGTGTTTTCTTTTTTCAGTTGACTTGATTGGTTTGTTGGGCTCTCAGTAACGTTCAAACTGGTCATCTTTCAGGGTTGGATACAAGGGATGCATGTATCATGCTATGTCTATTAATTAGTAATAACAATAATAATAGAGTGGCCAACTTTCATCACTTGCAGCAAATAGCTGAATGTAAAAGCGTACTATATATGCTGCTGCTTCAGTCCATGTTTGATCGCACCTTGCCCACACCCAGACCAATAATGGCACATGACAGATAGACCATGACACTGGGGCCTACAGTACGTCCGTTACTCTTTTTGAACAATGTCACATTTTTTTTTCCTGTACATCTCCTTCCAACTGATGTGTAAGGTTGAAGGAGATACAGCCAACAGCTAAACGTCACTGCCCAATAACGCGATCAACTGAACTGAGAAAGGGGTTTTAGTCACAACTAGCATGATCTCACCAGTTATTTAAGGACCTTTGTTGGTGGTCCAGCCAGGCTTTGAACTCACAGCCTCCTGCTCAGCAGACTGACACTCTTCCAACTGAGCTAACCTGACTGCACTTTAAGCCAATGTCATTGCCGTCTTTCTATCCCTTGAGGCAAATCATTTTAAGAACTGTTTACCATGATGGAAAAAGAAAGCACCAACACAAAACAATGTATTTTAGTTAATCTAGTATTCAGCATTCAATGCAAACTGTAAGATATTACTGGTGGGAAGAACAACAGGAATGAACTCAGCTCATTTTTGTTGTTGGTTTCAGTTTGAAGCTGATCGTCGCGCTTTCATCATCACTATCAACTCCTTTGGTACTGAACTTGGTAAAGATGATCGCAATAAGCTGTATCCCAAATGCGGGAAACTTTATCCAGAAGGGCTTACAAGACTGGCCAAGGCAGATGATTACGAACAAGTTCGAGCTGTAGCTGACTACTATTCTGTACGTAGAACTTAACACTTTTGTTAAATAAATAAAATTAATATTATTTTTGTCATTGTTAGCCTCCTAACAGTTTTTGTCCATGAAAATCAGATTGGCTACTGGGGCTCATAAATGGATCATTGTGTTAATCAAAGATAAAGCTTTTAAAGTGCCTTGGGAGTGATAAGATGTTTTGTGATAGTTTTATTCAAAGAGCAATTTTTAAAATCCTTTTAATTCACTTAAGAACACATACTTGTTTTGTTGGCAGTCATACCCTTTCTAGTTACTTTAAAAGGAAGACTTGACAGGTATAAAGTACAACTTTTATAAATTACTGAGAAAAAGTAAACTTCCACCTGTTTTTTAATGGTGTATGGTTTTGTTGCAGGACTATAAATCTTTATTCGAAGGAGCTGGGACAAATCCTGGTGAAAAGACGCTTGAAGACAAGTTTTTTGAACATGAGGTTAACATCAATTTTTATCCTCTTGTACTTAAATTTGGCTCAATTGCCCGGAGGCAGTGTTGAAGCAAATACTGCTTTTTATTATGTAGTGTTATGAAAGCTTTCGGCAGTACTGTCAGACTGCAATACTCAGGGTCAGAATGGGTAGAAAAAGGGGACAGACAGAATTTCAGCAAAGTCTGTCTTCTAGAGCCTTACTTTCTAGATACAATAATTATTGCTGTCATAGTTTTCTGGACCCACTCTTGGTCAGTGAGACAAACATACTGGTAAGAATATCAGCTTCCTGAAGGGTAACAAAAATCTTTCATATACGAACCTGTTATTTTTGCCAGGCTGAATGGCTTCTGATATTTTTGGGTATTTTATTGCCAAATATTATTAGAGACTTTAGGTCCTGCACCCTATACCTTCACCCATTATTGATTAGAGTTGTGACAGAAGGCAGTCATCCTTTTTTTTTCAAATCTTGTATTGTTTTTTTGCAGGTGAAGATGAACATACTATCATTTCAGCAGCAGTTCCATCTTGGAGTATTTTACGCTTATGTCAAACTGAAAGAGCAGGAATGCAGAAATATTGTGTGGATTGCTGAATGCATTGCACAGAAAAATAAGTCCAAAATTGACAACTACATTCCCATATTCTAAACTAATGACAGAGGTAGAGACTTCATTGATTGAATTTAAATAAGCAACCAGCTAATCTGTTTGAGGTTAGGTGGGCATGGCACTATAAATGAAATCAGGAATGTTTTTTGTGACTGATTTAGTTGGAATGCAAATTTCCTTAAAATATTTAAGAATTGAACTACATGTAAAGTAGAGTCCTTGTACATGTTGTGAATGAGGGATATATTTTGTTTATATTACTTTTGCTGCAGACAGAGACCTCGTCACTTCATCTTTCCAACATTAATGGTAAACATAACCTAGTGGCCATGGATTGGTTCTGGGCAGTTTGTATGATTTCCCGCATTCTACAGTGACTTGGCACATAAAGATCAAAATTAGGATTAATGTAATTTATGTCATAGTCAAGGATAACTAAGAAAATAAATGCCACCAACAGTATGGCGTTCTTGGTTGTTAACCTTATTCTCATAGTGGCATGGTACATTAACCCCAAAATTGGAATTTTATTAATTTGTATAGCAGAATACTAACAAAATTAATAAATGTCACCATGTAACAGTATGGCTTATTGGGTGTGGCTTAAAAGATCATGCCATAGCTTTTCAAGCTTTCAAAGAATTTTTTTCTCTTTTTCAAGCAAAATATCTCGAGCGGATTTCTTTAGATTATCAAGCTCAAGGCAGTTAATACCGGAATGTTATTTTTTTAATGATATCTTGCAGTGTTCACTTAGGTCCTGATTATTTTTCTGGTCATGGGTATCTTAATAACTGTTTATGATTACACTGGCTCTAGAGGTGGGTCAGCGAAATACCGTAAAATTCTGAAAATAAGCCCCTCTATGTATAATCCCCTCCAAATATAAGCCTCCCAAACTCGTTCCAAATATAAGCCCCCTGAGGGGTTGTACTCGGAAACTGCCCTCAAATACAAAGTAAAACAAAGCAAAAACAGTAAATTTCCTTCCAATCGATTTTGAAATGCAAATTCCCCTCTGGAAATAAGCCCCCCCAAAAATAAGCCCCTCAAAAAGGGCCTTTGAAAATATATGCCCTGGGGCTTATTTTTGGAATTTTACGGTAAGTGAGATGAAACAATCCACAACTTAACTGCTTGCAAACTTGATTTGCATTTGATTTAGAAAGAAACCCTTTGGCATCCTGGTAAGTGTATGANGCCTTTGAAAATATATGCCCTGGGGCTTATTTTTGGAATTTTACGGTAAGTGAGATGAAACAATCCACAACTTAACTGCTTGCAAACTTGATTTGCATTTGATTTAGAAAGAAACCCTTTGGCATCCTGGTAAGTGTATGATTGGAAAATTATTAATACTTATTAAGGGGATTGAAACTGTAATCTACTCTCCCATGGCTTACAAAAAGGGAGACATCAGTAAGAAAGGGTGAGATCTGGTTATGAGATTACTTTTCCTCCCAGTCATGTGTTAGTATATGATTAAATTGATCAGTGATCATATTAATAGTTATGACACTGATTCTTTACTGTCAGTTACAAGATTGTAACTCTATAAATTTATGATTGTAAAAATATTATCGCAAACGTTATGAAGTTATATTGTCAATAATGACACAGTAAACTGCATAAAACGGTAAAAGAACATGTGGATATTGTTTGCCTTGACACTGCTTAGCCTGTGCCAGTGCAGACGAGATATAAAGCCGGGAGACCAGCTAAAAAAGCGAGTGAGCAAAAAACGGCGGGGAAAGAGAAGGAACAGCACAGTCGCTATGCATTCTTGGCTTGGTTAATCATGGACTCTTTTTCTCTGAAGTGGAGGAGGGGGAGAGCCTAAAGGCATCTTTTCAAATACCTCAGTCTGCCCACTACTAGAAAAACCGTTTCTCCTGTGAAAATGTCAAATTTCAAAATGTTAAAGTTGACCAATCATGAAGTGTATAAGAAGCTGGTATTGACCATTTTCACCGAGCCCATAATGCACCCTGTAGACAAGGTGCATTGGTCTCGGTGAAAATGGTGAATGAGGTATTTAAAACAATGCTTACAGGCTCGAGGCCCCACTTCCTGGTCTCTACCCAGCCCCCGCACGGATTTTTGTACTGTCGCAGTGATATGGGCATCCCCGCAAAACCCTTGTGATATCTTGGAGCCTGGGACAGGCTTGACGCTGCAACACTTTCTCTCTTGAACCCCAACATTAAGGAAGTAGCAACCAATTTTTCGTGGTCCGAAAACAAAATTTGGGTAAATTTGTTACTGGTAAAATACAGTTATGAGGGTAAGCAATTTTCCGTTGGTTTTTCTCACGCTAATACATAAAACCACCTGAGCAATAACATCAGTTACGTGAAATGCGAGATTGCCTTGATCGCCAATCGATCCACGCACGATGCGAATTTCGACAAAATTTATAAACCTTCGCTCCGCGAGGACAGAATTGTGGAAAAAGGACAATATTAGTATTATGAAAATAATAACAATGTAATAAAATTAGACAATAGAATTGTGACAAAATCATTGTGAAAGAAGACAATAGAATAGTGGTAAAAGAACAATAGCTTTGTCAAAGAAGAACAGAACCTTATGGAAGAAGACAATAGAATTTTTGGGAAAAGAACAGGAGCATTGTGTAAGAACTATAATTGTAAATAAGACAACGTAATTGTGAGAAAAGAATGATACAACCGTGGAAGAAGACAATGGAATATTGCAAAAAGAACACAAGACGCGTGGATCGACAATTGAATGGTAGAACGATAATTATCATGGTGGAAGGTGAACAGCAACATTTTGGTAAAACAAAGGAAATGTGAAAACATTGTGCTTTGGGAAGATGAACACCAGACTAAAGTAAAACGGAAGGACGAGAAAAGGACTGTTGAAGAACAATAAAGTTAGGAAAGAAGAACTATAAAATAACGATTTTTGGGGAGGGGAGGGACAACAAGTGAATTTTTCAAGAGGAACGAGAGGGAAAACAATGAACTTGAGATTTGGAAAACTAGCAGTAACTGAACGGAAAATAGTGAGCAGTAGTAATATTGGATGAGGCTGAGTTCGGCCTCGGCCTCCGAGAACTGCGTAATTCTTCAGATCATTGCTAAGGCGCAACCAATTATTGTTTTCTTATTTATTCAAACAATTCATAATTTAAGACATGTTAGACTTTCTGAAAGTCCTTCGCTTCTCATTTCCGGTTCCGGTAGTAGGCCGAATCGCGCTTCGCGCTCAAGAAAAATTTTAAGCTCGACTTGTGGCCATGTCCAAAAACATGCTTACCTTGATCCAAGTTATGTTCCCGTCTTTATCTGTCTGTTCCTCGGCAAATTCAGGGTAAGAAACGTTTAGTCTGGCAGATATTCTTCAAATAGCAGTTGTCATCCTTTGGGTTGTATGTTTGCTGTTCCTGCTTGCTAGGCAGAAGTTCGGCAATTTCTTCTTCGCAAAACGAGTGAAAATTTCCGTCATTTTCTCCAGCAGTACTAAACGCAGCCTCATCCCCAAGGTTTCTCGGTTGCCATCCCTTTTTCTAGGGATAGCCTATACTAGTGACGTCATTTTAACGAAAATTGCAAACGTTTTCCAAATGTCGTCAACGCTAGCTGGTTATGAAGAATTAACCCGGGGATCTGAGCCAAAAAGTAACAAGCGGAGAAATACTTTGAATGAATAATAATGGTGTGTACTAAAAGGTATTCCCCGAATGCCAAAAAGAAGCACCCCAATAATTATAATAATAATAATAATAATAATAACAATAACAATAACAATAACAATAACAATAATAATAATAATAATAATAATAATACAAGAATTTATATAGCGCCATTTCCGTGAGCTCAATGGCCAAGAGGTAGTTCGTTCCAGGCTCCAAGACAGAGGTAAAGCCGTGCAGTAAAAAGTGATGCGTAACACGCGCGGGGACCACCGCCACCTTCTGTATATCGTGCGCCGTCTTATTTTCACTTGGCTTGTTTCATTTTCGTTACGTCCCGACTTTTTGAGACCCTGGCACAGGTTCCCCAAGATGCTAGTTTCTTCCCTACTACACTACTGCAAGCATATAAACGTAGATTTCCACCTAACAAAAACTACAGTACACAAAATCTTGCCCAAATTATCCCTCATCGAGGTGACCACTGGGTGGTGCTCCAGGATGCCCTAGCTTCTGACATTCGAGAATCAAAGCAAGCTATAAAATTTGACATTTCCAACTACACAAGTTTAATTAAACATTATATGCCTCACGTTTTACTCTCTACATGTCATTAGTGTGCTACTACAACTAGATAAAAATAAACCATACTGCGTGTCCTACTATGAACAGGACACACTCGACACCATGTTTCATCAAAGTTAATTTCTTTTTCAAAATAGACTACAAAACAGTCCGTATTTTTGCGTATTCAAGTACGCAAGAACTAATTTCAAAACGGCTCTGCAAAATTGAAAATTGTTCTTTTTGTCAAACAATTTTGAAATGATGAGATGTAATTATCCCTGACATTCCATGGAAAAACAAAGCTCAAGCAGATACAAATGAACCAGGGGCACCCAACGACAATTTTCGGAAGAATATCTGTTCGGAAGACGATTTGAGATCTAGAATTTTCGAAACATTTGTTGTAAAATTTCTTGCTTGCCCGCCTCTCCTAGGATTTTCGAACATCTAAAATATGGTATATTTGCCTATTTGTAACGGATTTTTACCCTAAAAAGGTCACCTAGAATTTTCGGAAGCCTTTTTTCTGGCTGAAATTTTCGAAAAGGGAAGTTTTGATCCCAATAATTTTCGGATCACTTGACTTTCAGCTAGGAAATCCGAACAGATGAAAAAATTTTAGGGGATAAAAATATGCTTTTATCTACCGTTTAAATACTAAAATACGTTTAACAATGCTATGTTTAAGTGTTTTTGAACTATATTCTCGTTCGGTGCCCCTGATGAACTTGCTCCAAGCCTGGGTTTAGGAATCCCTCGTATAAAGTTGCTGCAATGGGATAGTTACCGTACCTATTTTAGGGTGAATTAC